ATTTGGTAAAGTAAATCCGTTGGGCATCTTTCTTTGCCTTTAGACAATAATTCTGATGGCAAAAGAGCCAAACGGGACAGGCGAAAAAAAAAAAAAAAAAGGAAGCACGTCGTGGTACAGTCGTCTCGGTAAGCTAATTGGCTAGTTAGCTGCTAACATTAGCGTAAACAGCGAGCTACTTATTATTAGTGCTGTCAGCGTTAATCTCATTAATATGACGTTAACGCCATAATTGCATTATTGCGGCAAATCCCCGTTAGTGAGCCCCGTGCAGCCCTCGCACAGCATTACCGAGCTAACTGGGATTTGCCGCGTTAACGTCGTATTGACGAGATTAACGCTGAGAGCAGTACTTATTATTACTAAACGTTACATCACAGGACTGCTAAAAAAATATGTTCGTCTTTAATGGACGAGTGTTTCACCAAGCCAACAACATGTAAACCTCTGCAAGCAGATGTCCTGACTGAATCAATCTTGAACATGTTGGTGACGGACATGAGACTCCTGTCTATGGTTGATGATCAAGGCTTCAAAGAGATGATCAAGCAGTTCAACCCAGATTACCACGATAACTACCTACCAGGCCGATCCCACTTCACCAAATTGATGGAAAAGAAATATGATGCTACCTTTAAGAAGGTTGGTCTCTCTTTCTCTCCACTCTCTCACACCACAAACACAAAATAGCCATTTGTATTAGAATTTAATACATTTCATGATGAAATAATATTAAGAGCTTGCTGACTGAGCAACCAATAAATTCATCTTGGTTAAAGCATGTACAGTAGTGGAAAGTTTTTTTTGTTTTGTTTTTTAATGATATGTTGAATGTTTATTGTTTAACATGCGTAACTGTATTTGATGTAACTGAATTATTCAATTGGTAAATTTAAATCTTGATGCATAAACTGACAAGCATTATTAATAATGAAAAAATATACTGTAATATATTTCCCTAATGCTTACTATTGTTCCAAATCATCTCATATCTTTAGGTAAAGCAGACCCTTGGTGGTGTCAAAGGTTTTTTCACCCTGACTGCTGATATCTGGACCAGCCATGCAGAGGCCTACCTTGGTGTGTCTTGCCATTTCCTGAGTGAAGATTGGAAGATGAAGAGCTTCATCCTTTACACCATGCCTCTTGAGAAGAGGCATACTGGTGCCAATATAGTGACATGGATGGAAGAGGTGCTAACAAAGTTTGGAATCTTGCCTGCCAAAATAAAAGCAGTAGTACATGACAGTGGTTCCAATATGGTGGCAGCAATGCGACTGCTTGAAGAAAAACATGGATGGGCCTCTATCCGCTGTGCTGGACACACACTCCAGCTCATAGTCAATACTGCTCTCAAAGAAACCACCATCAGAGCACTAGGTGCAGCTAGTGGAGCACTTTAAGCGAAGCGAGCTGGCTAGTACAAGGCTAAAAATGAAACAGGAGCAAATGAATATGAAGAAAAATACACTGATCCAAGATGTCAGTTAGGGCTGCCGAAAACGATTATTTTGATAGTTGACTAGTCATCGATTATTTTTTTGATTAGTCAACTAATCAGATCATCATCCATTGGATGTAAAACGTACAGCTTATTGCACCAGCAGCATCTGCTCTTATATAACCATCATTAGCTTACAGCTTTAAATGTTTAAGGTATGCGCTAGCTAAAAATAAAGACAAGATGATAGTTTATTAAACTTTTATTGAAATTTGCAGATTTTTTTGGTGAAGTTTAATAAACTCAGCCGTCTGCTCCTTGCTATCTAAAATACATCGGAGTATATTCTCGAGCATCTCACACTTTTGATAATCAGCTGTCTGCTTGACATTTATTCTGCTGTGTAAAAACTTTAATCTCAGCCAAACAGATTTACTCAGGAACAAATAAAATACTAAAAAAAAGCCAAACAAAATAATTTTTAAGTTATCTAAGTGACTTATATATCATGTTTAACCTGAGTAGCGAAAGACGGCGGTGGGTTTCAAAACAATTTGCCGGAGTCCGGTGTTCTCAACGGCGCTAGTGTGCCTTGAACGACGGCAGCTATTGAGCTGGTGGGTAACAGACGTCTCCGAAAACATTGGAGCGCTTTTGAAAATATGTGATGTCTTAACCCTTTAAGACCTACCATAGAACCAAGTCCGCCAGAACTTATATTATATTTTTACATGCTGTGGTGCCATTTTTGGGAGCATTTCAACTTGATATACATCAATACAACCATTATACCCAAAATTTTAACAATATGTATATATTAAGTGCATAGTAATTAAGTAAATCAAAGGACATTCAGAGTGTTTTGCACTTCTCCTTACTTTAATTTAAATTGAATTAATATTTCACATCCAGTTTTTCTTTAAAAACTGCACAGCCTTAAGATGAAATGTCTGTAAATTTGAAGTATCTATCTGGATTATCTTTCTTGTTGCTACTCACAAATATTTCTTCTTACAAATATTTGTTGTACCTGAGTGATAAGCCTTAACATCGGTGTTTTTTTATGGCAGTAATTGAATCATTTACTCTAACTTGTTATCTTTATGTTTGTCAGAGCAGATTCACCGATGGAGGAGTTTGTGGACGATGAGAACCAGCAGCAAATGCTGACACTGGCAAAGGTAAGTCCCTTTAACCAGGCAGGAGCTGGACCCAAAATGCAGGCACTCAGACTCGAGGGATGAACTCAAAATCACAGCTTTATTGGCTGGCAGGGGAAAACAAGCATACATAGCAAACTAAAATATTTAGATTAATGTAGTCTTTGTTTTGGTATTCATAAGGTTTGACTGATTTCAATCAGATTTAATGATTTAATACAAGCAGTTTTTATGTCCTAGTCATCATCTAAATGTAGTTATGTCTCTCTCACAACTTATTTAAGTCAAAGCTGTGAAATAACTGCCTGAACTTGTTCCAAAATGGCTGCTGAGCTCACAGAGATTACGTCTACATATGCTGACATCCGTATTTGAGGCTTTGTGACATGCTCTGTTTTCTTTGACTTTACATTTCTGGCTTTTGTTTCCAGTCCAACCATTACTTTTTTTATGTTATAACCTGCTGACACTAGAAGAACACATGCTAGTGTACTCATGTGTGATAGAGAGTAATAGACTTGAATGAAATTTGCCAAGGAGGAAAACATTAGAGTTAAAGCCGAAAACATTTTCTTTATCAGCCGTTACTCTAGAATTCATACACTAATTATGTCTACCAAAGCATTCCCCAATTTAGGGTTTTGCTAGTTTATCTCAATCTCCCTTTGCCCTTTGTTTTGTAGTGTTTTGTGCAGCCCAAAATAAAAGCTTGATTTTATTTTATCTTCTCACTCCATCTCCGTTTCCTGCATTTGTGTCCACACTTTCTCATCTCCACACCGTCTGCCTCAGCAGACGTGACAATGTTTTAGATTGTTGTCACTTGTCAGGCGTTGTGTGGAGGCGAGGAAGAAGGAACCCAAACGCAGGACTCGCAGGTAGGTGAACACTGGTGAGGGTTTATTATAAGGAGTGGATGAACAGAGGGTGAACGGACACTGACTGGCTGGACAACTGAATGGCTGACTGAACTGAGGGAACACACGGGCAGGACAACATCACATCAACATCAATGACACGACAGTGAACGAGTAGAAACAGAGGGCTTAAATACACAGACTGATGAGGATGATAATGAGAGACCGGTGAGTACACAGCTGAACATAATCTGGCTAATGACACGAGACGAGCTGACACGGGAAAAGCAGGAAGTGAGAAGTGGCAAAATAAACTGAACATGAACAAAACATTGAAACAGTGAAAACACTGGGTCACCGACCCAGGAACCCTGACATCACTCTGTCTCTTTCTTCTTTCTCTTTAAAACCAGAACAACCCAGACAGACTTCATGAGGAGGTTGGGGTAGATTTTTATGAAGAACAGCTTGATCTTCCCAGCCAACATGGAGGCAAAGTCTGCCTCTTTGACCAGTGTGGGAAAAGATTCAGGAGTTTATCACATTTGAAGCGTCACCAGCGTATCCACACTACGGAAAAACCCTACTCCTGCAATGAGTGTGACAAGCGCTTCAGTCAATCATCAGACCTGAAAATTCATCAGCGTATCCACACTGGGGAACAGCCCTATGCCTGCAATGAGTGTGGAAAAAGCTTCAGTCAGTCATCAAGTCTGACGGTCAATCAGCGTATCCACACGGTAGAAAAGCCCTATGCCTGCAATGAATGTGGAAAGAGCTTCAGTCATCTATATACTGTAGTCTGAAGGTACATCAGCATAACCACACTGAAGACAAGCCCCACTCCTGTGATCAGTGTGGGAAGGGTTTCAGTGTGTCATCACATCTGAAGAGGCATAAGCGTATCCACACTTGAGAGAAGCCGTACTATTGTGATGAGTGCGACAAGGGATTCAGTCAGTCATCACATCTGAAGCGTCATCAGCGAATCCACACTTGAGAGAAGCCGTACATCTGTCAAAAGTGTAGGAGGCATTTCAGGCACTCATCCACTTTCAAACGTCACAAGAATACATGTAGACGCATCCCCCGAACCTAAATGAGCATTTCCACAAATGTTTGTTAAAATATTTCACAAAACTATTAAAGTCTTATCCAAGCATATTAAAATGTTCTAATTCTAATTTCATTTTCAAATAAAAGCCATTGACAGAGAAATGTTTCAGCGCTTAGAGAGGGTGTATTTAACCAAATCTGGTTTGTTCAAAGAATTTAAACCAGTTGCTCGAACAGAATACAAAATACATCATAACCACATAAACGTAACTGCCAAAAGCTAGATTTCCAAACTATTAACATCAAACTTCAGTGACCTCAAATAATGGGTAAAATCAACAAAAAAAGAAATAATTACAGCATTGCAATGTGTTTTGCTCTCTCATAACTCTTTCCAGATGCTGCAGACGTGATTAATCTTAGCAGAATCTTAGAGTGGACACCCTAGTCGACTTTCTCTGAAACGTGATTCTGTATTGTTCCCTGGTAAAAAAAAAAAAAAAAAAAAAGGTCCTTTCAGGGCGTGGAATGATGTCAGAGTGTTGAAGAACTTTATTTACAACGAGCCCACATCAAACTCACATTCTCGCTGGAGAGTAGTGATGGGATTTCCGGCTCTTTTTAGAGA